TTTGCGGGGCGGGCCCCGGCCTCGCGGTGGGGTTTCCTTGGAGGCCGGCAGACTTGCAGGGTGGCGGGAATAGTGACTCGGCGTGCGGGGAGGAAGGCCTGACTTGCCATCCCAGGCATGGAGCGCGGGATGGGGTGGGGCGGCTTCTGGGGGGCTCCGGGCAGAATCGTTAGGCTTGCTTGCTTCCAGGGGGCAAATGTACCCGTGGGCAATGTTCCCTCTAAGAGCAATGGGTCTTGTTTGCGGGGCGGGCCCAGGCCTGGCGGTGGGGTTTCCTTGGAGGCCGGCAGACTTGCAGGGTGGCGGGAATAGTGACTCGGCGTGCGGGAAGGAAGGCCTGACTTGCCATCCCAGGCATGGAGCGCGGGATGGGGTGGGGCGGCTTCTGGGGGGCTCCAGGGGGCAAATGTACCCGTTTGGGGGGGTGCGGTGTGCCAATGTTCCCTCTAAGCTGTGGAGTCTTGTGAGCAACGATTCTACTTTGTGAGCTAGTGGCATTAAAGTTGTGAGCAGGTGATTTGGCTACTGCAAAAATGAGTTTGCTCTGGGGCCATCTTTCCTGAGCGAAGACAAAAATGTGTGAGCCGGAGGCTAAAAACCTGTGAGCTAGCTCACACTAACTCAGCTTAGAGGGAACACTGCCTGTGAGGTGGTCCCGGGCATGTCGTTGGGCTTATTTGGGGGCAGTTGCATGGGGCTTACCACATTCTTCATTTTACCCTCACAGCAGCCCTGTCAGGTAGGCTAGGCAGATAGGCAACACCTGGCTCAAGGTCCCCCAGCAAGATGCGGATTCTGTGAACGGCCGATCAGGAGAGGGAGGGCACCAAGGGTTGCCTCAGTGCTTAGCTCTTGTGCCCCTTTTCTTACATGCCCAGGGAAATGCTGATTTGGGCTCAGGAAGCAATTTTTCTCCAGGCCAGTTTGGCCAGGGATCCTGGAGGGTTTTTTTATCATCTTCTGGGCATGGAACAGAGGTCACAGCGGGTGGAGGGCGGGAGGTATTTGTGAATTTCCTGCATTGTGTAGCAGGTTGGACTAGATGACCCTGGAGGTCCCTTCCAACTCTTATGATTCTAAGATTGTCTATCAGGGTGGGGATTTGAAGTCAGTTTCCCAGATCCTGTAGCCCCACCCTCTGACTACTGCACCATGCTGGGCGCACTCCCTTAAATGGATGTGAGGATTCTTTACCAGCCAATGTCATTGGGAGGCATGTTGAGCAGGTGTTATGGCTTCGTTCAGGGCAGCTGTGCTTATGAGGTGGTCCTGGGCAGTGCTGTGGGACATTTCAAGACAAATGTACATGTGGTGCTGCCCTGCAAGATGTTGGTAGCTTCTTAGGCCAGCAGCTTTGCTTCACCTTTGCTTCCTCAACTGTCATTAGCTCTCTGTAAAGGTAAAGGTTTCCCTTGCTTGAAAGCCAGTCAAATCTGATTCTAGGGTTGTGGTGCTCATCTCCATTTCTAAGCCGAAGAGCCAGCGCTGTCCGAAGACTTCCATGGTCATGTGGCTGGCATGACTAAATGCCAATGTGCACGGAACACTGTTACCTTCCCACTAAAGCCATACCTATTTATCTACTTGCAATTTCTTGCTTTCAAACTGCTAGGTTGGCAGGAGCTGGAACTAGAGATGGGAGCTCACTCCATCATGCGGCACACTCGGGTCTCTAACTGCTGAACTACCGACCTTCCGGTCTGCAGTTCAGCATGTGTCTTACTTCTGGGTAAATGTCCTTTAGAGGGGCAGCACTGGGCAAGGGTTCATGATTTATTTTGGGGCAAGTATATGTAGCTTATTTTCATTGTGAGGCTCAGCTTCCTGGCCACTGTACCAGTTCCTTTTTCTTTTCTTTTTTGGCCCCCCGAAGGGGATTTTTTTTTAAATTGCATTTTATATAAGGACTACAAACTACAATGAAAATAGGGGAGGGGAACTACATTTAAGGAGAAAGAAAAGATACCCACTACTAACTAAAAACCCATTGATGCTTTTGTTATTTTCTATGCTGTAATTGTTCTAATGTACTTTTGTAACTAAGGAGCTTGTATGAATTTGTGTGATTCCGATTTTGTATGCCTGATGAAAAACCTTTAGTAAAGACAACATTTATTTAAGGACTAGCGTGTTGTCTCACTTCCTGGGATATAGCCGAGCGTCTCATTCGCCATCCGACCTCTGTATAGACTGGTATAGAACTTACGCACAGCCACAAACACCCAATTTTCCTTGGTAGATAACTTGGATTGGGTCTCCAGGAATTTCCTGGAGAAGTTGGCATAACATGGTGGGGCGGGGCTTGTGGGTGGTGGGTCGTCCCCCCCCCATGCCCCATCGTGGCTTACGGGCCTGACTTGTTTGGCACTACTGGGTAGGGTTGTGGGGCTTTTGTCCCAGCAGACATACTTGTGGGGCAGTTGCTGATGTGGACTTGGGGCTTAGTTTTCAGCCAGTGTACTGGAGGGATGCACCATGAAAGCTTCTTTCCTGGGCAGTTTTATCAGGCTTATTTCTTGACGAAACATTCTTGCGCAGCAGTCCCAGAAAGGCTTATTTTGGGCAGGGTTATGGAGCTTACATGGACTTAAGTGGGGCGGTCCCAGGTAGGGTTTTGAGATGCAATTCCAGGCAAATGCGTTTGTGTTGTGGTCCCAGGAGGTTGCTCGTGTCTTACGTGAGATGTGGTCCTTGGCAGGGCAGCTTGATTCTGGGCAAATGTTCGTGCTGGGTGGCCCAAGGCATGGCTGTGGGGCTCCCAGACTAACATGCTGGTGGCTTGGTCCCTGATATGAGTGTGGGGCTTAGTCCTGGAGGAGGGCAGGAGCCAGCCCACCAGTAAATTTGCCCAGAAGTAACCTCCACAATTCTGCTGTGCAGTCCCAGGCTGGTGACTGTGGTTTACTGGTAGGTAAACATACTTGTAGGAGCTGCGGTGGCTCAAGTGGTTAAGACGCTGAACTGCAGGCTGGAAGGTCGTTAGTTCAGCAGTTCGAGACCTGAGTGCTGCATGACTGAGTGAGCTCCCGTCTCTGGTTCCAGCTCCTGCCAACCTAGCAGTTCGAAAGCAAGAAATTGCAAGTACCGCTTCTGTGGGAAGGTAACAGCGTTCCGTGCGCCTCGGCGTTTAGTCATGCTAGCCACATGACCACGGAAGGGAAACCTTTACCTTTAAACATACTCGTAGGATGCTCTTGGGCAGACGTTAGTAGCTCAGTTTTGGTCAGGTATTACCACAGGAATTTTAAGGCTGAAGATGAAGAAATTGAAATTGTTCAACATCTTCTGTGCCTTGGCTCCGTCATCAACCAAAAGGGAGGCTGCAACCAAGAAATCAGAAGAAGATTGAGACTGGGAAGGGCAGCCTTAAAAGAACTAGAAAGATTCTGAAGTGTAAGGATGTGTCACGACTGGCGACGAAGAGCAAGATAATTCATAGTATGATCACATATGGATGTGAAAGTTGGACGGTAAAGACAAATAAGTGAGCTCTAGATCAAATCAAGCCTGAAGTCTCCCTAGAAACTAAAATGACTAAACTGAGGCTAGATCCAGGTGGGAAGCCATGTTGGTCTGAAGCAGCAGAACAAAGTTTGAGTCCAGTGGCACCATCAAGACCAACAACGTTTTAGGCAAGTACACGAAAGCTTGTACCTTGAACAAAACTTTGTTTGTCTTAAAGGTGCCACGAGCATAAAACTTTGTTAAACTGAGGCTATCTTGCTTCTGACTAAATGTACTTACGTAATTATTTACAACATTTATATCCTGCCTTTCTGCCGAATCAGGACAACCGAGATTGCTTACTTAAGGTGTCCTCCCACGTATCGCTTGTCCTCCCACATTCCACAACCCTGCTGAGGACCGCTTTGCACATACCATGACCGCTGTGCACATACCCAATAGGCAAATGCGTTTGTGTTGTGGTCCCAGGAAGTTGCTCGTGGCTTACGTGAGATGTGGTCCTTGACAGGGCAGGACCGCTTTGCACATACCATGACCGCTGTGCACATACCCAATACCTGTGGGGCAGTTCTGGACAGGGCTCTTGGGCTTGCTTCTGGGCCAACACAGTCGCAAAGCGGTCCTTGGCAAATACTTGGCCTTTGTGTGTGGGGGGGGCTTCAGAGCAAATCCCAGACACCGCTAGAAGCAGTGTTCCCTCTAAGTCTTCTGGGCCAACACAGTCGCAAAGCGGTCCTTGGCAAATACTTGGCCTTTGTGTGTGTGTGTGGGGGGGCTTACTTTAGAGCAAATCCTAGACACCGCTGGAAGCAGTGTTCCCTCTAAGCTCAGTTACTGTGAGCTAGCTCACAGTTTTTTAGCCTCCAGCTCACACATTTTTGCCTTAGCTCAGGAAGGATGATTCGAGAACAAACTAATTGATGCAGTAGCCAAATGGCTCACTCACAGCTTTAATGCCAGTAGCTCACAAAGTAGAATTTTTGCTCACAAGACTTCACAGCTTAGAGAGAGCATTGGCTGGATGTACATCTCACAACTGTGCCCAAGTACCGCAACCCAGAACAAAGTCTTGCATATACAGTATGTTACTGGGTAGACTTTTGAAGCTTTTTAAAAAAATTGTTGGGCTGCTATATGTGGCTTCCTTTGGGTAACGGTACTTGAGTTGTCCTGTGCATGAATGGGGTAGGCTGAGGAGGGCCCCGCAGGGACTGGGGCTCAGAAGGGAGGGGCGGTGAGGTGGCCCTTGGCAAATATTTGCAGTTTGTTATTGAGCTGGTGTATGTGGCTTACTTTCAGGTTAGTATCCTTGATGCCCCTTCTGGTATACTTAGTGTACTTGCAGGGCAGCCTTTGACATGGGTGTGTACAGATTCCTTCAGGGGATAGTTAATTTTGTGGCAATGGCTTTTTAGTCGTTGTTTGCTAGTTAACACACTTGTGAGGTGGTTCTGGGCAGATACTTATCGCTTCCGTCTGGGTGGGTGTCTCTCTCGTGGGACTCTGAGCAGGTTTACTGAGGAGTCTGCTACATTGATTGCAAGTGAGACTTGCTTCTGGTACATTATGCAGCATCGTTGTGAAGGAAGTGCACTCTGGACATGCTTGGGAGTTCTTAGTAGATTTCAAAGTTTAGGTCTCATTAGTCCTCTGCGTCCTTCCTTGTTTTGTTCCCAGGTATTTGTCAAGCATGTCACTGGAAGGAGGACTGTTCACCTGTGATGATCATAAATACTGGAGGCTGGTTTTGAACGCTTACTGGGAAGTGCTGGCGGCCAAAGGAAAGAAGCAGAAGGAACTTGTCACCTTAGATAAATGGTAAATCCCTCTGATTCTGAGTTGGCGCCATTTTAAGGCAGCCGTTTGGCCCCCTTTACAAACATTATCGTTTGCCCAACCTGTTCTTTTAACTAGCACGCCGTCCTTTAAAAGGAAGACCATCCTCTATGGCACCACTTGGGAAGCCTGGTGGTCCCAAGGCAAGGAAGAGGTTAAGAGACGAACAAGGCTCGGAGAAGGGAGGAGCAGTGCTGGGCTCGCCCGATATGGGTGGAGCCCTGGGGATAAAAGGGGAAGAGGCCAAGAGAGGAAGAGGAACCTAGGGGAGGAGGTGGGGCACAGTGAGACAGGCAGACCTGTGGAGGCCTCTGGTGCAAACGCACAACTCAGGGCAAAGTGGGCGGCTGAAGGGAGCCGTGCTTGTGTGGATACCTGTGTGGATGTAGTTGTACTAGCCCAATGCAAATCCAGCAAGGCAAGGAAGAGGTTAAGAGACGAACAAGGCTCGGAGAAGGGAGGAGCAGTGCTGGGCTTGCCCGATATGGGTGGAGCCCTGGGGATAAAAGGGGAAGAGGCCAAGAGAGGAAGAGGAACCTAGGGGAGGAGGTGGGGCACAGTGAGACAGGCAGACCTGTGGAGGCCTCTGGTGCAAACGCACAACTCATTGTGTGGATACCTGTGTGGATGTAGTTCTTGGCAACAAAAGGGAACTTCAGCGAGCGTCCTTGAGTCCAGTTGACCATGAAAGACACTCAGTGATGTCCCTCTGCTCCCTGGTGGGGCTTACTGTGGTTACTGTGAACCTTCTGTAAATCAAGGGAAGGGGGGGGAGAGCATTGCTCTGGCTGCTTTTCTCAGTGCTGTGCAAAACAGTATTTCTTTTCTGCCATGCCTTGTAGGTATCAAGAGGAGCTGCCAGCCGCCATTGCAGAACGGAAGGAAAGATACTTGACCCGAGAGGACTTGGTCAAGCTGATGGCCTGGAAGCTTTCTGTAAGACATGTTGTCATGCTCGACGAGGCACTCGTCCTCTGGCTCTCAGAATGGGAATCCTAACAGTTTTATCTTGTGTGGCTTGGGCAGCCTTGCTAACAGGTGCACTAGTACTAGTAGAATTAGTTAATTAGTTAATCCCCTTTGTCACCTGCATTAGTCGGCTGTCTCCATAGACTCTTGACCCGAGGATCTTCTTTTTCTGACTCCCAACTGCCGTCTACGGCCAGCTGAAGATGTCCCCTCCCATTGTATTTCATACCATTTGTATTTTTTTTAAATTCTGTTTCGGGAGCCAGTGGAAGTAGAAGAGTCAAAGTACAAACCCGCTTTGCTCCTCAGTTCATACAAACTTCTTCTCCGTAATATCTGGAGGGGCTTGTTACATGTCACACACCATGACCCATTTGTAAAATAAAAGCTGGGCTTGCAGAGAGATCCACAGACTGTGGAAAGAATCCTGGGAACTATTGTTGCGGGGGGGGGGGGGGCCAAGGATTTTCTGGCAAGGTTCAGGATCAGAATCCAGGCGGGA